GCAAGGAGAGCGCAAATCTCCCTCATCCGAAACCAAAGAAAATTTGGGAGGCCTAGGGGCTATGTTTCCAGGAGGGTGTAGTTTAGTGTCTGGGGTTTAGGACAGTTTGGGGTTTATGGCTTAAGGTTCAGCATCCTTGCAGTTTTGGGCACTGGAGTTGAAGGAGCTGATGACAGCAGGCACATCGACGGGAGAGGCAACGGTGACCGCAGAAGAGAAGAGCCTGGCCAAATCGTGAATTACCGAAGACGCTCCAACAGCAAGCCGGGCGGTTTAGGGTTTCAGCACTCACTCTCGGACATACCACAGCGAGGATTCCAGTCCCAACAGTTTAGGGTTTCGGGCTTACACATCAGATACAAACTCCGCCGCACTTGACCGAGTAACGTCTTTGCACCCATCTCTCCCAGGTGGCGGAGGAGAATGACGCCACCTCTGTGGGCAGATCTTCGGTACCATGAGAGCAACCGAAAAGACTAACTGAAGACTATGCGACACAATCGAAATCTTGAATCACACGCATCCAACTCCGCCACGTAGGCTACGGCCTGAATTGCAGTACCTGGTTGTGGATGGTCGACTGTATGATCAGGGTTCTACATAGTGCGAGAATAAGACAGCCAAGAGGAGGCATACTTAAGTGTCCGGGTAGGGGTATGTGACAACCACGCCCAGCGGCCCATCGAGAAGCCCACTGCCGAGAACTCAGCTCCAGCACATACCTGCAAATGGGATCTAAACAGTTGACTCATGCGTTTGACGATCCGAGACTGACTCATTTAACCTCCCCTCAATCCCATCTCACCGGACATTATTCGAGACGAGACAATCAAGCATGTCGGTTTGTGTAGAAAGCTGCCCCAGCATCCTTCTGCTGAGCATTCTGCACTTTGCTTGCCGCCCGACCCCTCACCGAGTCTCTGCCCATGCTTACTCCTACGCATAACAATGTGAACTGAACTTCCTTGCGTTTTCGTCCTGTCCGGCAAGTGCAGATGATGGCATGGTCACGTCACCTTCAGGGCCCTGTTGGTAAGCAGTAGGCTACTGGTGAGATGTTTGTACTTGCGTATACATACATGCTGAGGTATTCAACATGTCCCAATGGCAATCTATGTAGGTACCCATAGGCTCCATAGTAGTTCATGTCTGGGATTACCTTATAGGGTTCTAAATATTGATCCCCCAAAAGAAACTACTATGGGCAGTGAAAAAGCTACGCTGGCCTCGCCTTCCCAAGGTGCTCCTCCACTTCTGGCATGTCACGCCAGCAATCCGCACAGCCCACCTGCACGCTACAGTTTCGGACAGAATTTAAGGCTCGGCGTATGGGGTTATCTATATGAGGCTCACAAGATAACGTGTTTCAGGCTTGGGGAGCTAAGCGAAAACTGCAAACATCAACCTTTCAAGGCTTCAGGCCAGCCTGTCGAACAAAAAGTACGACAAAAGCGGCCTTCCAGTATAGTTGCCCCTAGAACGACATGGATGCTTGCAAAGGCTCCATGTTAAATCCGAAAACTGAAATCAACCTTGATCCTAAGCCTCAAAACCCTAAATCCCAGAAAAAGCCCTACACCC